GGGGACAAGATAAAGTGAAAATTTGGAAAAATAGTCATTTACTCGGTCAGGTAAAGCATTTACCCGATCGGGTATTGACTTGATTCGAAAATCAAATCTTATTTGGAGGCAATTTAATGTGCAGGCAAAGATTTGGTAAAGATTTGTCTTTTACCCGATCGGGTAAATCATAAAAACCCGGTCGGGTATAATGTGACAGATGAAGGTTCCAGGCACTTACTCAAGAAACCCGATAAAATTTGACGAGCACTTTGTCACGGTGCGTCAAAATAATATTCGATACTTGCACTTATACGTAGTATAGGTGAAGTAGAGTTCATATCCACAGGGAAAAGAATAATTCTCTTTTTAGTAAAACTAGTAAATAAGGGGGGTTTTGGGATTGAGAGATTTAATTTAATTAAATACGAAGATGAACGACTTATATGAGATTTAATTCAAAGATAAAAAGGACTTGGCATTGCTACTTTCCACTTGTTGATATATTTTAGTCGATCATTGTTATATCTATAACTTATCCCCTCTCGAATACTCAATCGAGGAGTATATCCAATTCATCGAGGGTAGTTATTAACAACGACCGTTCATTAATAACCCTTACTATTAGTCAAGTATAGAACAACGCTGTATACCGATTTAATAGTACCATTTAACCTCTTAACTCCTTGATGAAATCAATTGAGATTGATAACCTCAACACAACGGTTTCGGTTTAACCAACAGAATTAATCCATCTTAAGTTTATTAACCACGACCGTGCATTAATAAACCGAAGTTACTTGTGAAATCATCAACGATAATTAACCATCGGTTCGTCGATCGATTCTAGTAGTAATTAATATATGAAACAAAACTAGTTGATCCTTTAAGTAATGTTCAAAATATTAATATGAAATATGAATTGGAATTAATTAATATTCAAGGAAGAATATTAAAGATGATAAATCCTACTATAACTAATGTCAAGATGTTAACTAATTGTCATCTTAGCAACACTCCCCAGCATTTGGTATATAGAGGAAGAAAATAAATACTACTATAACTAATGTCGAGATGTTAACTAATTGTCATCTTAGTAACACTCCCCAACATTAATATAAAGATAGATTAAGGGAAGAATTAATATTCAAGGGAAGAAGTTAAGAAAATAACTCACAACTTTAATAATCAACAAGGTTCAAGAGCAACGCCAAGAAATGGAAGTTCAGCTCCTCATTTGGAGACTAAACGTGCTATAAAAATATAAAGAAATGTTATTCTAAACTGAGCTTAAGAGAGTATGTGAATTGGTGATTAAATGGGAAGGAGAAGGGGTGTATTTATAGGTGTTTGGAGCTGCCAGGGCCATTTACCCGACCGGGTTTTTGAGAAACCCGATCGGGTTTCTTGAGTAAGTGCCTGGAACCTTCATCTGTCACATTATACCCGACCGGGTAAATGGTGTACCTGATCGGGTAAAAGACAAATCTTTACCAAATCATTGTCTGCACGTTAAATTGCCTCCAAATCAGATTTGATTTTTGAATCAAGTCAATACCCGATCGGGTAAATGCTTTACCTGACCGGGTAAATGACTATTTTTCCAAATTTTCACTTTATCTTGTCCCTTGGCACTTTCCTTGACCTTTCTAAGGATCCTCTTGATGGTTTTCACCTGGTTAAAGCTCAGAATAAACATAATCTAAACACATTACAAAGAAAATAGGAAAAATAAAGTATTACACCAAAAGTGTGTAATTTCCCAAACAACAACAAATAAAACTAGTTAAAATTACAAACATAAATAATAACAATTCTATACTATCAAGTATCAAGCACACCCTTCTTTTTCTTGATCTCGGCATATATAGGTTGTTTAGAGTCAGTGTGTTGTAGTTTCCTTCCTTGGATGATTAAGTTTCCAAGCTCTTGAGTCTTGAATATACCCTTCTTGGAACTTTCTTGGAACAAAGTCTATTGTAGCACACCATTCTTTTTCTTGATCTCGGCACATATAGGTTGTTTGGAGTCAGTTCGTTTGGTGCCGCCTTTTTGGAACTGATTCTGCTACTGCAGTTCTGCTTCTTTTTCAAGGCAGAAGAAGAATCAGCATCGGTTTTCAGAAATTGGCCTCCCTCAAGTTCTAAAAAAAACTGATTCTAAGGGGGTGTTTGGATCTGATTCTCAAAACTGATTCTGCTCCTTCAGGGAGTAGAAGCAGAAGCTGGAGTATTTGGTGAAATTCCAGAAGCACTTTTGGTGCACTAATTTACTCTCAGAATCAGGTTTTTTAGAAGCTAGGGGTACCAGCTTCTGAAAACTGATTCTGATTTTGCTTCTGCTTTAAAAAAGAAGCAGAAGCAGAATCAGTTCCAAACACCCCTTAAGAGTAATTTAGAGCACTAGAAGTACTTCTGTACTTGCACCCAAACAATGCAACTTTTATTCAAACACCCCTTAATAGAAATAGCTATTGCAGGTGTGGGAAGATCTCATAAGAAAGGGTAAAGACAAGGAGAGAATTTGCAGGTGTGGGAAGATCTCATAATTACTAATTATGTACCGGTGTTAAACTCTTCTAATTATATACTCCGTATTTTTATACAACAGATGTTGAAATGCACATTTGTCCTCATGTGCTCCTATTTTTTCATTCCTGATAAAAGAAATGTTTGAATTGCCACAATATAGTAGGTTAGTAACAAACAACCAATCTCAGTACACCCAGATCGACTCCACATATAGTTAAATGAAGGGTTTTTTACAAGAATATCACTGAAATAAAACATATTTACATAAAGATGACTATTCATTACTATAATGTGGTGTTGTGGTAATTTAAGCTCAAAACTTGAACATGAATTACTATGATTTCATTACTACTCTAGTCACTAATCACATTTTTGCAAATCATCTTTGTTTTGGTCATATTTATGTAATTATTTCTTAAAGGAAAGCATGTGCTACTGCTACATATTGGATTTCAAATATGCAGAACATCAGGATCGACACCATATATAGATCAACCTTGATGCATTTTAGAACTTCTATCTAGGCCTGGGACCGGTTCGGTTCATAGGCAAAATATGTGGAACCGTTTGAAAATATGAAATTATTGTACTAACGGTTCGGTTCTTATAAATTATTTTGTAGAACCGATAAGGAACCGATCTCAGTACTAACGGTCCGAGCTTGGTGGTAAGGGAATGGGTTAAGCCAGCTCGTGCCTCTCGGTCTTCTGGTGTTTAGTGACCCGAGTGAGAAGCTGTTGTTTCTAGATCCTTTAGCTCGGCAGTAGAATAAGCTTAGCTGTGAAAATAGTCTATTCTAATTTTAATTAATTAATAAATTAATTAATAATTATTAAAATATTCTTATTATATTATATTATTTTATAAAATTATAAAAAAAAATTATTTGGAATTTTTATTTAATTTTTGAAGTTTAATTTGAAAAGTCTTAACGGTTCGGTTCTTGTCACTTCACGGTTCCTAGTCATTGAAAAATTTCTTACAAACGACTAAATTTTTGACAAAAAGAAATTCAACATTTGAAATTACAATACAAATATGTTGAACCCATTAAAGAGAATAATAAATTTAAATGGTTTGGACCTTCCGAGTTCCGATCCACTGGAGTTTGGACCTAATGAGAGGCCTAAGAAGCCAAAGAGTACCGGTTGAAGTGAATAATAGTTTTAAATAGTTAAATAACTAAATAAGATAATGAATGTAAAATAAAAATAAATAAGTAAATATACATAAAAATATATATACTCATAAGAAATATAAATATAATTTTAATTATTATATATTAGGTTTCTTAACGGTTCCTCATACATAATTTTTTTAGGAACCGGGAACCGAACCGTTAATAAAAACTTCCTCCGAATGAACTAATAGCACGAAGTCAACTAGAGTCAATGGGATGAGGGAACCACTGCTACCAAACAAATAGAAGACTAAGATCGAATCCTTATCCGAATGAACTCACTATATCCGAGCTAGAGCTCGGGGTGTCTCTAACCAATTGTTGACTTAGTCATTTCAGCAGTCAAGTGTCAGTGAAGCAAAAGCCACGTCCCCAGCATGATAGCTATACAGGGCCACACCACCCTAGCGGTTGCTACAAAGAATATTCTAGGCAGTACACGGATTACACGCACATGCATTCTATTACACAAAGGACAAATCTGTTATACACACTACCAATTAGCCAGCTTTCCAGGATATATTTCCAATCAATTTTACACATGTCATCACTCTATTAGACTAGTACACTTGTTCTGTTAGCCAGGAGGGACGCATGTCCTCACCACAATGGAATATCATCTTTTTTACTTGTTGGCCAAGTGGAAGGGATATGGTTCAGTTTTGATGTGGAACTTGCTATTACTCTTCCCAATTTTCCACTCGATTTTACTTGCACTTTTCAGCCTCATTAGTTTCCCAAAATCCGGCTAGCCCCAGGTCGGAGATCCATCACATAGCATTAGGCCACTGTGGAAGAAAGGCAACTTGCTTGTATGTGGTAGAAGTAAAAGGAATAGAGGTAGCATGCAGGTGTATTATTTGGAGAGGTGGGAGGTATAGGGAGTCTTAACGGAGTGGAAGATTGAGGATACTATTTGTAGCATAGCATTTGACCATACTTATTTGTAGCATAGCATTTGACCATATTGTTTGCTTTCCCTTTTGATTTGTTTTTTTTGTAATCGTGGATTTGGATGTGAGTGATGAAAGGATTGCAGTAACCGTCTTTGGCTCAGTTGCGCTCATTAATGGATCAACGAGTTATATTGCTTCTATCAAGGTGATAAATTCTAAGTCTGATCCGAGGGTCGGCGATTTTCAGGAATATTTTTATCAGTTTCTCTACCATAAATGATGTGTTATCAATTTAAGCTTATTTCTTCCAAAAAAAAGAGATGGGCAATGTAAAAAACAATTGAAAGTAAAATCAATTATTTTGGTGATTGAGGTTCGGACTCAAACCGGTTCCGATCCGGTCCGGTCACAGCACCCAACACACACAAGCCGCTCTTCTCCTTGTCCAAATATCGGATGAGTTAAGAAGAGTTGGGTCAAACTTCTCCAAAATCAACTGAAATACAGAGTGTTCGAATCCCAAATCCCGTTGTAAACTCCATTAAGAGATCTATATCGCCCCCGTTGATCCGTGCGGTTTTTTCATCTTCGATTCGATGACGGTCAGTATCTCAACGCCGTCTCTTTGATCGCAAATATTTTTTTCTGTTTATTGAATCATTTTATGCTTTGCTGATTCGATATGTTGTGAATGTGATGAAGTTTCTCTGGAAATGGCATAAATAGGGTTCCAGGTTTCGTTTCATTGATCTGATTGTTCTATGAAATTCTTCCTTTTTCCGGCTGATGTTACGGGGGATAATTGAAGTCCGTTCCTTAATCTGAATAGTACTGGGCTGGCAATTAGAAAGTCTGTTGGATCGTTGAATTCACGCGTAGGATATATTGTTTTCGTAGGTGTGGTTATAATATAGGAACCGTTACAAGACGATGATGCATCGTTGCAAGCAAGAGAGAGCGTTTTGTTTAATAGTTTATGTTTTTTAGAAAGGGAGTTAATATGTTGAATGCCATGAAAAAAAAAGTAGCTGACTTTTTTTATTCTCCGTGGTCTGCCAGGTCAGAACAGTGAAAGTAAGCAATGCTTCTTTAGGTGCTTCTGAGCACGATATCAAGGAGTTCTTTTCATTTTCAGGAGAAATCGAGTATGTGGAAATGAAAAGGTTTGTTTTCTCCCTGGGCATTTTCAAGATCTCTCTGGTGTCTTTGCCTTTTGCTTATTTTGTAGTTCATTAATCTGATAAGCACAGCCATATGAAGCTTCAGAAATTGTATGAAGGAAAACAAACACAACTTGTTTAGAATTTTATTGTTGCTTTATCTTGCCAAGTGATCTTCATTATGTTCATGGCATTCGTAAAATCTACCTTTCCTTTAATAGTGCTGATGAACGCTCTCAAATCGCTTACGTAACTTTCAAGGATCCTCAAGGTGCAGAGACTGCCGTGCTTCTTTCAGTAAGTCTACATTACATAGCCCATGAAACAATAAAACCAGACTTGTTTTGACACTTACGAAATATCTAGTTCTGAGTGGCACATGCTTTCACTAATTTTTTATATAGCCGGATGTCTTCTCTAATGCTCTGTTTGGATTAATTTATAGGAAGGATATGAAAAACTTACTTAATTATTGTATACCCAGAACTCCATATTGATGGCAGTTCATTTGCATCTCCATTCTCCAGTCATGTTTTGCCCATCTAGAGTTTGTTTGGATGGAGGTGTTTAGACTTTAGAAGGCAAGACTTCGGAGCCTCAGAGGGTTTTATCTAGTTTGATATAAATTTGAGATTTTATAAAAATTTAATGATTAACTTAATACGGAGTATGTGATTGCATAACATTTCAACCACCTTTATAGAAGCATTTTATCTATCAAGGTATAGACTAAGCCTCTCCCCTTCAAAGTCCAAACCCCTCTATCCGAACAGACCCCGACTGTTAATCAGTATTCGTAAAGTATTGATATGCGTAATAACAATTTAATGGACACAGCAGTGTTATTCATTTAATTTGTTTACAAACCTGTTTTGCATAATTAACCATCTTGATTGTATAAAATACAAGTTGGTTCTGTTTAGTTGTTTGTTTATTTCATCCTTACAGTTGTATTTTGTCAACTTGGGGTACTGACCTTGGTGTATCTTAGGGAGCTACAATTGTTGATCAGTCAGTCACTATAGTTCTTGATCCTGAATACAAGATTCCAATCGAGGCTTCGTCTGCACCAATTGTATGTCCTATATTTCTAGCATCTCCGTGCTTCTATAAATTTCATCTTTTTTCTTACTTCTCAATTCTGTTTTTGGAACTTGGAAAGTGGAAGGGAAAGGAAAAACTAGAGATTAGTTTCTTTTTATATGTTTGGTTGTGTCGTGGAAAATTAGAAGGAAAATTAAATGTATGTTGAAAACTTGTAAAAGATTGTGTTTGAACTTTGATTTCTTTGTCAAATATAATAATGATAATATGTTTGATAAATAAATATTTGGAAGTTGATCTAATGAGACTGAACTATCCTTAAAAAACAAAATATTATTTCTTGAAAACTTCTTCTCTATTTTAATACGTATTTTCTATCCCTGGCATGCGCTGACTTCCAAATGGACTCTAAGGAAAATGTTGTGTCATTTGTACACTATCTTCAGGTTACAGAAAGCCAGAATGTTAGTGGCGGTGCTGGATCAGCAATCCAGAAAGCAGAAGATGTGGTTAGTAGCATGCTGGCGAAGGGTTTTGTACTGGGCAAGGATGCAGTTAATAAAGCCAAGTCTTTTGATGAGAAGCACCAGTTCACTTCCACTGCCACGGCCAAAGTCGCTGCTCTGGACCAAAAGATTGGGCTTACAGAGAAGATTGGTTTGGGAGCAACAATCGTTAATGAAAAGGTCAAAGAAGTTGACCAGAAGTTTCAGGTGTCCGAGAAGACAAAGTCTGCCTTTGCGGCTGCTGAACAGACAGTTAGCAATGCCGGTTCTGCAATTATGAAGAACCGATACGTTCTCACTGGGGCAACTTGGGTGACCGGAGCGTTTAATCGGGTCACCAAAGCTGCTGGGGAAGTGGGCCAGAAGACAAAGGAAAAAGTGGATGGAGAAGTTGCAAAGGAAGGTTATGTGGGGTTACATGCTTCGGAAGAACCCCCAAAGGCTTCTTCCACTGATGATTCGAAGAAGAAGCCTTCCACCGTTGAGGGCTTAATCCTGTGAATTTGTCAATGTAAAACCCCAGTTCTTTATGAGCATGTTTTCTTAGGAGGTTTCCAGCCATTTTAACTTATATTTACTGCTTGGACTTTTGAACTGTAATTGTGTCATGTCATGTGACTTATACATGTTTTTATACCTTTTTAAACAAAACTTGTTTAATATTTCAATGGATAGTGTTTATAGTAGTACTCCGCATATGAAAAGCCATTGGTGTTAACGACCTGCAATAAACTATGCTGCTATGCAAGATGTATTTATTAGGGGTGTTCATCAATTCGATTTTATAGGTTTGGTTTTTAGTCGGTTGCTTTTTAAAAAGGTGGAATTAAGGATGGATCGGGCCCAGGTTGATTGGCCCGTTGACCAGTATTGTAATGAACCGGCCCGACCCGGGTGGCCAGGATTGGGTTTGGCGGATCGGACTGGTGGGGGTTTGGGGCGGGTCACGGGCTCAGCCTCTCTTGGAACCGGCCCGGCCGGTCTGGGACTGGTTTGAACCCTTTTTTCCCTTTTTTCGAAGTGTTTAGGTGGTAGGTGGGTTGGGCCGGGTGTTTTGCCGGGGTTTGGGGGGGTGGGTGGGGGGGTAGGAATTAATTAGAAAAGCAAAAGAAGAAGAATATATATATATATATATATATAGAGAGAGAGAGAGAGAGAGAGAGAGAGTAATGATCCTGTCTAGCCGGAGGGACAGGACCTGCCGTTCGGCCGTCGCCATTGGGAGCCCTTCCCGGTGGAATTTTTGATGAAATTTTTTGAGCATGTTCTTCATGAAGTCTAGTTTATTCATACCAAATTTCAGCTAAAAATTCAATCGGGAAGGCAGTCAAATGATTTTTAGAAGTTAACTGCGCACTTTATATACATATAAAACGCAGTCATCTTCCAAAAATCATTTGAGTGCCTTTTCGGTTGAATTTTTAGCTGAAATTTGGTGTCAATAAACTAAACTTCATGAAGAACATGCTCAAAAAATTTTATCAAACAATTCCACCGGGAAGAGCCTCTGATGGCCTCAGCCGGACGGAGCTTCCTGTCCATTCGGATGGACAGGATCTTTTTCCTATATATATATATATATATATATATATATATATATATATATATATATATATATATAGAGAGAGAGAGAGAGAGAGAGAGAGAGAGAGAGAGAGAGAGTGCTCTTCTCATCAGGCCGGCCTGACGGGATGCTCCGTCCGGCCAAGCCCATTTGGGCACCTTCCCGGTGGAATTTTTTGATGAAATTTTTTGATCATGTTCCCCATCAAGTCTAGTTTGTCCATACCAAATTTCAGCTCAAAATTCGATCAGGAAGGCATTCAAATCATTTTTTGAAGTTGACTGCGTCAAAATATACATATAAAACTGCAGTCAACTTCAAAAAATGATTTGAATGCCTTCCCGATCGAATTTTGAGCTGAAATTTGGTATGGACAAACTAGACTTGATGAGGAACATGCTCAAAAAATTTCATCAAAAAATTCCATCGGGAAGGTGCCCAAACGGGCTCGGCCGGACGGAGCAGCCTGTCAGGCCGGCCTGACAGGCTGGAACTCCTGACCTGAACATTTGTGTGTGTGTGTGTGTCTATATATATATATATATATATATATATATATATATATATATATATATATATATATATCCATCGGGAAGGTGCCCAAACGGGCTCGGCCGGACGGAGCAGCCTGTCAGGCCGGCCTGACAGGAAGGAACTCCTGACCTGAACATTTGTGTGTGTGTGTGTGTGTCTATATATATATATATATATATATATATATATATATATATATATATATATATATAGACACACACACACACACACAAATGTTCAGGTCGGGAGTTCCTGACCGGAATCGAGCCAAAAACTCAATCGGGAAGGTCGTCAAATGATTTTTGCAAGTTAACTGGTCCGGAAAATACATATTCCGGACCAGTTAACTTGCAAAAATTATTTGACGACCTTCCCGATTGAGTTTTTGACTGAAAATTTTTGTGGATAAACTAGACTTGATGGAGAACATGTCATAAAAATTTCATCAAAAAAAGCCACCGGGAAGGCGGCCAAACGCCGCGGTCCGGACGGCGGTTCCGGTCAAGAACTCCTGACCGGATCATTACTCAAATATATATATATATATATATATATATATATATATATATATATATATATATATATATATAACCTGGCCCAGTCCCGGTAGAATCTCGGGCTGGTACAGGGCCTTACCCAAAAAAAATTATCCCGGTTTGGCCTGGCCTGGAGCCCGGCCCGGTACCGGTCCATGCCTAGTTGAAATCGAGAACCGAACATTGCTCAAGTCGATTTATATTGCTTAAACCGAGAACCGAACAACATTGGGTCTTAAACTAAGAAGTCTAATCAAAAATTCTAGAGGTACCCCAAATTGTATCCCAATTTGTACTCACCCCCTGAATTGCCTATGTACACAGGCAGTTCGTTTGAAAGGGGGCAGAACTTTCTGCCCAAATGTCTGTGTACACAGACAGTGTACACTTTGGGGTACTAATTGGGGACCCCAAGCAGCTGGGTATAAATTGGGGTACCCCAAGCAGCTAGGTAAGTCCAAACCATAAATTGAAGTGTTGACTATTGTGTCGGTTTTGGACGGTTTCGGTTCTGGACTATTTAGGGAATGTTTGCAATTGCTTCTACTTAAAAAAACACTTTTGGAGATGTAAGGAAAAAATGATTAATAGTAAAAGTTGATAGTGTTTGAGAAAAAAGTGATTTTGAAAAGTAAAAGTTGGTAGTGTTTGGTAAAATAAGTGTTTCTTGTGTAATAGAAAAGGGAAAAACACTTTTCACACGCAAGCTGAGAAAAAGTAAAAATTAGTAGTGTTTGATAAATAAGTGCTTTTGAAGCCAAAAGCTGAGAAACACTTTTTTAAAAATTGTTGCAAACATTCCCTTAATTTCACATTAGTTGTAGTCAGTTCGATTGCAGATCGGTTTGTCCGCCAATTTTAATTTTTGCAACTTGCAACTTGTGTTGTATTTAGGGCGCACTTAAAGTTTAAATTGTAAGTTCTTAGGCCTAAAATAACAAATACACCAAAGTAGCATCCATAATAAGATGGAGGCCAATGTCATAATTTTATTCTACCATGAACACATTATAAGGCTTTATAGCAAGATATGTTGGACGGGCAGAATTTTAAAACCGAGTATATGATAATACGTAGTAATACTTAGGAAAAGTTGGATGGGTGGGGGGCAAGACCCCCAAGCCTAGGGGCGGAGCTAGGGGAGCGTCAACCCTGGACCAACCCAAATTTTAAAAATATCTAAATTTTTAGTGTAAAAAATTTCATGTAATTTTTTTCCAATAAAGATGTATTTGCTCTTTTATACAAACATGGGTTTTTTTTACATTTATTTTAAATTTCAGGTACATATGACTTCCACAAGGTATATTTATCTGGATCCGGGGGCTCTACCTTACTTTAGAGTAAGGTAGAGTGTCTTGCTTCCTCTCGGTCGTCCGATCGACAATTCAACGGTCGGAGATCTTGGGCTCCACTTTTTCGCCAATCTCGAGGTCGTGTTGGCCGCTCCCCTCCCGTCTAATGCGCAAGGCGCCCTCCTAGTCGGGTAGAGGATCCCAATCCATATTTATCTCTGAAAAAATACAGCAAGGATATACTTGTTCACACATCTATACTACGGAGTACATCAATATATTTGTCCTTTTTCTCTAATAAAAATGGAATGTTATTAAAAAAGGTCAACGGGGTCGGGGCCTGCGGGTCACCGGAAAACAATCGAAGAACGAATAGTCAGGGAGTCAAGTCCACTCGCATCTCTTGTCATAGTCACGACGCACCCCACCAAATTTCCCAAACCCTTTCGCTCAACGATTTCTCACCTTGTTTTTCTCGGTAATCCTTTTTAGTCGTCGCAATTTCTCGTATTTACTCCTGCCTTCATTGTAAGTTTTGGCATCTAGCTTTTTTCCCACTTTCTATGATTTTCCGACTTGTGTAATTCATTCGTTTGATTGCGTTTTCAATCCATCTTACGGAGTAGTATTTAAGTAGCGACTTTGATGCGGTTAGGGCGCTGATCTTCATAATCAACTGATTGTGACTTTGAACAAGTAATCTGATTTGTTGTTAGGATGTATTTTCAATAGCTGATTATTTGTTCAGGTGAAGACTTGACGGTTTTTGTTCAGACGGAAAAGAAGATGAGCGACAATTTGATGGAGAAAGTCAACTCCTTGGGGGAGCGGTTGAAGATCGGAGGCTCAGAGGTGAGCCAAAAAATCACTGCTGGAGTGTCGTCAATGAGCTACAAGATGAAGGAGTTCTTCCAGGTCCCAAACCAGGCGGATAAGCTAGTGGAGGAAGCAACTGCCGAGACTCTGGATGAGCCCAGCTGGGCAACCAATCTTGAACTGTGTGACATGATAAATCATGATAAGATCAATAGTATTGAACTCATAAGGGGCGTAAAGAAGAGGATCTTGTTGAAAAGCCCGAGGGTTCAATTCTTGGCCTTGGTTTTGCTTGAAACCATAGCCAAAAACTGTGAGAAGGCTTTCTCTGAGATTGCAGCCGAAAGGGTGCTTGATGAGATGGTGAAGTTGATCGATGATCCCCAAACTGTAGTGAACAATCGGAACAGGGCTCTCACAATGATTGAAGCTTGGGGCGAATCATCTAGTGAGCTTCGGTATCTTCCTGTTTATGAAGAAACTTACAAGGTACATTATTTTGTTGGTATTTTTCTTCGGATCATACTGGAATAATCAAATGTAAAGGGTTTGTACTGCTTTTTTGTTGCCACTAGCTTTGTTTGATATGATTACACGAAAGGCTTATGCTCCCTTCTCCTAGAGACCTTGGTTTGTGTGATCACTTAGTGCCCTCTAGGTATAGTTTGTAAGTGATTTCTATAGGTTTGGTCTAAGTCATGTAAGGTGCATCGTGCATGTATGCAGTACAATACATGTTTGGCTAACATATTCAACTATTCTCTATGCTAGATGAATAAGATGGTGTTATTAAAAATGTGGTCTTAACTAAGTTTTTAGCCTCTATTAGTCTATTACGAAGTATCACCTCTTGGTCAAGACATCTTTATTTTGTAAGACTCAGTTTGTTTTTACGAAATACTCCGTATAACTTGCTGTGGAAACTTGAAATGTTTTCCATAGAAAATGTTTTTCCTCAGAGATTGTTTTCCCTGAAAATGATTTTTCAGAAAACAAACTGTTGATTTAAAT